AGAAACAGTCTCCTCCACTGAACTAAAATGTAAATGATTTTCCCAATAAGGTGATGAACTTTCTTTGATTTTTGTCATAAAGAGATCATGAATGGACAGACCGCAGGGGTATTTTGAAGGGATTTCTCAAAAATAAAAGGATATAAATGATCATGACTGACTTTTGGTAGGGGGAATGTGTAAAATTTTACACATAATATATATTAGAAATCAGAGAAATATCTCACACCAATATATTTTGCATAGGTTTCCACTTATGTGACAGAGTGGCACAAGAATTTTGAAGACTGATATAATAATAAACTTAGATGTTAAATGAAGGTTCTACTTGTAATGGTTTGCATTAGTTAAAGGAAATGTAAATACATTTGTGTATGTAGCCCACTCTCAGGGAAAAGAGATTTGTGTTGTTTACAACTTACTTAAGTTTTAGATAACATTTAGGTAAGTTTTTAAGAAAATTCTGATTCATAAATCAATTATCACCTGAAAACTGTAACAGGAAAATTGATTCATGAAATTCATAACAGACTCCTTTGAGGACAGGTTAGCAAGGGAATGGAATTATAGAGAGATACCACCAATTCAAATTTCATAGGGAATTGCTCGTCTCTAAAAATATTAGTTGAGATCTAAACATAATTAAATATTTATAGAATAATATGTGGAGAGCTAATGTTAAAGGATCATCTTATTAATTCAAAGAAATATTCTAAGACAATAGCTCTCAACCCTGATATAAGGAAGGAATCCAAAAACTCAAAATAGTGGGAATGTGATTAAATTTATTGATCTGAGTCTAGGGTGTTTGAATATTTTAAAATCTATCTATCTATCTATCTATCTATCTATCTATCTATCTATCTATCTGCAAGTAGGTGATAATCACCAGTGACGTAAATTATTGTTTAAATGTTTTCATACAGCAACCATACAAATTAGGTGATTGTTGTACTCATTTTACAGATGAAGGGGAATTACAATTTTTACAGGTGTGTTCACTCCATTTCATGTACTTAATCTTTTGTACATGAGCTTCCAGGTGTTTTAACATTATTTCATGTACTTCTACTTCGCATTTTTCTCAAATAAATTACAGTGTGAGCTGACTGAAAAAGTGTGTAAGTTTCAGTATTTAAAATAAGAGAAATGCTAATCATGTACCAGAAAATACTGCTGTGGAAAATCTGTCAATAGAATTAAAAAGCCTTGAAATCAGCCAGGGGCTTTGGACTTTCCTAGTTTCTCAGGTTTTCCACTGGACGTGGAGGATTTAGTATCTTAAAAACAATGAGGCATGCTACTCTATAATACAGAGTCAAAAAAAGAGCAAATAGCTAACAGTGACATTGTATGGGATGATTGAAATAAATATGTATAAAATTTAAAATGCAAAACATCAGGCATTCTTATCCCTTATTGTTTCTAATCATTGACAGACACAGTATGCACTAAGGCCACATTCCTTGTTATTATGTAATCAGATTCTATATGTTTATTTGAACTTGCTTTATATTATTTAATATGTTTTAGACAATATGGAAGTTACATATTAAATAATCTATGCATAGCAAAATCGATGTGAGCTCTTATATCTTTGAAAAATAGAAATAAGAAAATCCCTATAATGATGAAAATTTCTGGGAGTTAACTGGCTCAATACTACATATTTTGATTATGAATAATTAACTTCAATGTTCATATCATGCAGTCCTAGATATTACACTAATTATAAACACCGTAATTCAAGATAATTTGTACCATTTTCTGAGAAGAAAATAAGGTATATTAAATGCTTTTTAATTTTCTTCCAATAGAATCACATATGTTTTTTAAAGAGTTGCCTGTATATTACTGGATCATAGAATTCAAAACTCAAATGTTCTAACATTTCCACTACAGTGTCTGTAATTTAGAAGTGCACAGAAGGACAAGGGGAACAAATAACCCAGTAATGAAAGAGCTCATGTAGATTGAATTTGTCACCACTGATTGATATTACTGAGGTTTATGGACTTTATGTGGGAATACTTTGCTTAGGAATAATTGATTCCTAACATATAGTCTTTGGCACTATTTAGTGGTTTCATTTTCCTAATGAATTTTCTTTTTGAAAAGGTGTTCAAGCATTATCAAAACATATAATCTAACAGGAGTCTCAGAATTCCAACTCATGGGCTTCTCAGATGATCCAGACCAGCAGCCCAACCTCTTTGGACTGTTCCTGTCCATGTACCTGGTTACAGTCCTTGGGAATCTGCTCATCATCCTGGCTGTCAGCTCTGACTTCCACCTCCACACGCTCATGTACTTCTTCCTCTCCAACCTGTCCTTGGCTGACATCTGTTTCATCTCCACCACAGTCCCAAAGATGATTGTGGACATCTCAACTCAGAGCAGAGTCATTTCCTATGTGTGCTGCCTGACATAGATGTCTCTTTTAATCCTTTTTGCAAGTATGGATGACATACTCCTGACTGTGATGGCCTATGACCACTTTGTGGCCGTTTGCCACCCCCTGCACTATGCAGTCATTATGAACCCTAGCCTTTGTGTCTTATTACTTTTGTTTTCTGTCTTTGTTAGCCTTTTGGGCTCCCAGCTACACATTTTAGTTGCCTTGAAATTTACCTGCTTCAGGGATGTAGAAATTGCTAATTTCTTCTGTCATCCTTCTCAAGTCTTTAACCTTTCATGTTCTGATACCTTAATCAAAACCATGGTGACATATTTTGCTGGAGCCATATTTGGCTTTATTCCCATGTCATTGATCCTTTTCTCCTACTATAAAATTGTTTCCACCATTCTCAAAATCCTTTCATCAGGTGGGAGGTACAAAGCCTTTTCCACATGTAGTTCTCATGTGTTGGTAGTTTGCTTATTTTATGGAACTAGCATTGGAGTGTACCTTGGTTCATCTGTGTCATATTCTCCTAGGAAGGGTATGATGGCCTCGTTCATGAACGCTGTGGTCACTCCTATGTTGAATCCTTTCATCTACAGCCTGAAGAACAGGGATATTAGTAGCACCTTGAGGAGGATCTACAGATGGCGAATATAATAACAATATTTTGGGTCCATTTGGAATGTAGGTTGAGAAGTATAGCTAAACTAAACACAAAAAACTCACTTTAAATATTGCCTTCTTGATTATATTATTTTAGAATTTTGATGTCTTCAATTTTACATAATGTTCTTAGAAGAATTGTGGCTGATTTGGGGAATGGTGAAGTTTGTGGTTTTAATATCAGTGCAAAATTCATTTAGGAAGTTGTGAAATTTTCCAAGATGGATAAGAGTGATGGTTGCCCCAAAACAGCACTGGATTTAGTGCTACCAGATTTTATTTTCAAGTGTTACATTTGGTTATATGTATCTCAGCATAGTGAGAAATGGAAATAATAAGATGAGGCTTTTAAAACAAATTTATAAATTTTATTGAATATTTCAAACAGTTTTTCAATGAACACACCAGAGATAAAACCTGTAGAACAGCAGTGCAAATATATCACAAGTGTGGCCTTGCAGTCTCATTCCCTCGATGGATGCCTCCTGTTCTCCCCTCTGCCTGGCCCACTTCCCTCCTCCCCTAACACAAGGATGGAATGGTTCTGACTGAAAGGACAATTATACTGATCCTCAGTGAGTGGGGGCCAGGAGAAAGTTTTGTTTGTCAACACTTGTTACTGAAGCACAGAGAAAAAGGAAGCCAATGACAGTCACAAAGTCTTCCTGTGTATTCTTCTCAAGGTACCATCTCCATGAGCAGCAACAAAAAAGCTCCTACCAGGAAGATGAAGCCCACTGTTCCTGGTGTCTTTTCTGAACCACATTGGAGGCCAGTGCTGGTTGCTTTGCAATTCCCATGCTAAATAGAAACTCAATTGGCTCCTATTACAGCTAACTATTGCTAAACCCCCAAACCAGAACATGTTCTTTAAAGCTTCTTTAAAAGGAATATGCATACACAGCCGGTCATGGTGCCACATGCCTATAATCCCAGAACTAAGGTGGCTGAGGCAGGAGGATCACTTGGTGTTCAAGGCCAGCCCAGGGTCCATAATGAGCTCAAGACCAGCCTGAACTGCACAGATCCTGCCTCAAAAAAAATAAAAGAAAAGAAAAGAACATACATACATATTTACATGCAGTCAAACAAACACACATACAGGGCACATTTTCCATTCAGTTGGCAGAGGACTGCTAGGTCTATATGAACACATCATACCTGAATCCTCCGGAGAATGCAAAAGAAACACAAGGACATCCTCCTCTCTGGATGGCTGAGAAAAGCAGGAAAAGGGTAAAGGAAGTGAGGCTGTGTGGAAAGCATGAGCCCAGGCACCCAGGAGAAGGGCAATATTTATCTGAGGTTTCTTTTAAAAATGAAGTAGGGAAAATACTGGAAGCTTATGGACAATGTACCTAGCCTGCTGAACAGGGAAGAGGATGAAAAAAACAATGCTCTTGGACATCAGCCATCTCTTCAAATTTGAGATAAGTGCAAAAATCAGCCCTGTCTGTCATGGACAGGTGCTGCCCCAGAAATGTAAAGGAGTAGAAGAAAAATAAAGGGAAACCAAGAGGGGGACTGAGAATTCACTAACTTTCTGGGAAAGAGGAAGATTCTGACAGGAGGGGGTCACAGAGGTGACAATGAGACTGGCATTTTATCTGTCCAGGCAAAGCCAGGGTTGTTGACCAGGATGTTTGTAGACTCTTTGCAGTAAAGAGGCAAGGGGCTGACCATCCTGCCTACCATGACCCATGGGGCAGAACACGTGCAACTACAAGACCACCCATGAGTACAGGACTCTAAAATAAAAGCACCAGTCAGTGCCATTATTCACATTATAAGGATAAAACATCACAGGCCCAAAAAACACCATCAGGAATGTGATAGCCACAGGGCTGTTGGTTTGAAATTCCAATGCTTCATGACCTGTGTCAATGTCTGCCCTCCAATCTTCTGCTTCCTTGGAAAGCTAACAGCATAGCTGTTAGGTGCTCACAACAACAGGGTTGTGTGGCAAACCTGAAAGTGGGGAATCTGTGCAGTGGTACAGGAAACAGTGTCCCCAGCAGCCATAACAGATAAGGAGCAGGGCTGCTGGGAAAGCCAAGGCACAGAGTATGGCAGGCTTCTCTTCTAGGAGAATGCTGAGAAGGTTCAGTCCATGAGCATGGAGTGGCTGAACTACAGGGCAGGATTGAGGGGCTTGGGGATGAGGAGGACAGACAGTGCCCACTGGAGGCAATACATGATCTCTGCTGGGCAAGGCCTTCACCAAGCCTGCCAGGAATTGCTGTAGAGACAACCTAATGGAAGCCACTGGCTGGAGGTGGCTGCCCTCTGCTTTCTTCAACCCTCTCTCCAGGAGCAGAGCCACTGTGCTGTCTGGCTGTCAGCCTGGGATAACCAAGGCAGCAAGGATCCTGCCAGCCCTGTTGTGGTGCTGCTGCCCCTGCTGCCATCACTGCTGCCAAAGATGAAAAATTTTGTTAGCAAAAGAACTTTACTAAGTGAACAGGACACCTGAGATTAGGATTAGGGTGAGGATGCCAATTCTGCCATTTTCAAATCCAAAGCCTCTGGCTGTGGGGGGTGGAGCCTGGGTCCTTTAGTTTAAACACTTCAGGGGGTCTCTTGCCGGCCTTACTGTGGCTCCCTGACCATGTATGTCTGAGTGGCTGTCCCTCACACAGTCACTATGGGAGCTTAACACCAGGAGCCCTGAAATGAAGCCAACCAGTGGCTGCTGTGTGGTCCAGGTTCAGCTGACCCCATCCCTGGAAAGGTGTCCACCCACTCTCTGCAGGGGACCACAGGCACTTGGACTGCACTAGCTGGTGCAGCAGACAGCAGCTTCTGGGCTATTCCACTGCGGCATTGTTGGGAGCAATGCTACATCATTCTAGGGAAAAATCATTTGGTTAGCCTAGTTCTCTTGCCTACAGCCCAGCTAGAGAATAATTCCAGTTTGGCCTCCGGTCACAACTGAGACTTCAGTGATCCAGTGATGCTGTGATTCTCCAGGACAAGAAACATCCTGGGAGAACAAACATCTGCTCAGTTCCTCCTTGTTCTTGGACTGTTAACATCTTGTTTACCCGAGATATACCGAACTCTCTGCAAGCCTTTTGTTACACCTTGTTTATCCCAATGTGAACTATTGAACTCTCTACAAGTCATTTGTTGCATTTGTTTCTCCCGATGTACTGAATTCTCTGCAAGTCATTTGTTACAAGGTACTGAATAAAAGGTGTGGTAAACTGGGGGCTTTTGTCTTTGCCGCCCAGAGCAGCACTGATCAGATCCAAAGCTCAGCTTCTTCTCAGTCTCATATTTCTACCTTTCCTGTAATTCACCGTGTGCTGCCGTGGCTTGCAGGAGACCAGGACTCACTGCAGAGGTTCTGGTAACGTGCCCTTCCCCTGTTCCCTACACGGCGTTTCTCCTTGATGGCCTCTGCAGTCCCCCGCTTTCACTGTGTCTTTTTTCTTGTAATTCAGTCCTTTCTTGTGTACCACAAGCAATGCACCAGGGAGATAGCAGATTGTCCCTACCTTTTTATCATTGTGTTCTGTCTCTTTAATTTCTCCATGGGCTCCAAATTTCCTGTCAGATCCTTCCTGGATCCCAGAGATCCACCTCCATTCTTTTCTTCTGCAAGTTGTTATTTTCCAAAGTCTGGAGTCTATATCTTGGAGAGGTTGATCTCTTGTTGCTGACCACCTAACTATTTTTTTCTAAATACCTTCATCTTTTGCAATGTCTCCCAATTAAATCATCATGAGAACTAACAGAATAATGGACCTGAGTGTCCTTCATGTGAGTGGGGTGTGACAATTTCAATTCATGTATCAGGAAATATGGATGGGAAAAATCTGTTAATTAGGGATGAGCGTTGGGCCGAAAACCTGGGCTTTACAACTCTCCCTCATGCTAAAGCCTTCAAATGTAAATAGAAATATTATGATTAGAAAAATAATGAATATACTCATTATGAACCACAAACATGTACCAACAAAAAAATTAAAAACAATGAAACAGTTTCAATAGGTCACTGTAGAATACAGAATAAAAAATAAAAATAAAAAAACACATTGTCACCAGGTATTTTACTGTAATTCACTGAGTTTGATGCAAACAAACCTGTATAAAATTTTAAAACTACAAAGGTGTTTATTAACATTTCATTACTTTTAAAAAATAAGAACCAACATAGAGTTGGTAAAGGTGCAAATTCCAATGATGAATGTCATTATATTGTATACCTAAAATGTATCAGTAAAATTAATAATATAAAAATATAGACAGATGCAGTGTGCATTGTGCCATATTTCTGGTCAATGGTGTCATGTTAGTTTGTGTCTTTTACTAAAATATGTTTATTAAAATTTGGAGTCCATGAAGGTCTAGGAGAAGAGTTATTCTCCTAGCTACTTTCCCACCACTGGACACAATACTCAGCATCTACAACTTAAAGGAGGAAAGGTTTATTTTGGTTTAATTTTAGTCGTTGCCTGCCTGTCTCCAAGACAGAAACAAGACAAAAGAGCCTGGCAGAGGAAAAAGTGCTTAAGCCATGGCAATCAGGAAGTAGAGTGAGGAGGGAGAAGACAGGGACAAGAACACACCCTTGCAAGTTACACCACCATGACTAGCTTCCTGCTGGGCCCTATCTTCTGACAGAAAGTCACCTATAAAGTCATACTGATTCAACCACCTTCCACACACATGACACATTTGGGGGGATATTTTAGATCTAAACCATAGCAATTAGAACATGAATATATTTTAAAAGCTAAAGAAATATTTGAGTGGTCAATTATACCCAGAAAGGAAAGAAATCATAAAACCCCAAAATGTTGATAAACTCCTGGAGATAACTGTATATCATGGTATTTTTTATAAACCATCAGCTTTATTGATTTTGCACATAATGTAGTCCTTCTTCCTACTGAATCTTCAAAAATATTTGAAATTAAAGAAATTTGTACCATTTTCTTGCAATAAGAGATCTTTCATTGTTTCTAATTTTTTGTAATGAGAAACAATTTCTTAAAGACAGAAGGATATTTCTCATTCTCTTTTGTGTTTCAATAGTGAACTATAGTTTACTGTGATTGTGGACTTCTTATTACTAATGTTCTTCAGCATTTAATCATTCAATGATGTTTCTCCACTCCAAGTGGGTAAAGAAAGATTTCAATAAATCAAAAGCCAATATTGAAGTATTTTTAGAAAGGCTGGGCTTGACACAACTGAAATATAGTTGATGGTATATGGGCCTTTGCTGTATATATTTTACTTGTGAATATTTGGATTCAAAATACACACAGAGTGCTTGTTGCTTGTTTATTTCATTTTTTCTAACATTCTCTTACTTATACAGAAGGTATTATATTTTATTAGTGCATATTAACATCACATAAAGGTGTAGTTTGTTTTGGAATGTTAGTCAATTTTTTTTCTTACTCAAAAGTTGTCCAAGAAATATCAAATCACAAAATAAAACATTTGTTTCAGAATTCCATGTCACTTATCTTTAAGACGATCCATCCTCTTTAAACTGTTCCTGTCCTTATGTCAGTTTAGGGTTCTGGGAAACCTGCTCATTATCCTAGTTGTCAGCACTGATTTCCACTTCAACATCCGCATGTCTTTTTTCCTCTCAGACCTGTCTTTGTCGGATATCTAATTAATCACTGCTGCAATCCCTAAAATTATTGTAAACATCCAAACTTACAGTAATGGCATGTCCTGTGCAGAATCCTTGATAATGATGTCTTTTTAATTATTTTTGCATGTACAGATGACATTTGCCTGATTGTGAAGGCTATGACCAGTTTTGGGCCATCTGACACCCTTTGTCTTAATCATCACGAGTCCTCACTCTTGTATTTTCTTAGTTTTGGTACTGTTCTTACTCAGACTTTTGGACTCCCAGCTGCAACTCGACACTATAATACTGAGTGAAATAAATGAGACACATAAATTTAAATATCGTATGCTTTCTCATGTGGAAACACAAAATATAAAGAACAAAATAAAATATAGATAATGGGAAATAGGGAAATAGATCTTTTCCAAAGGGAAAGGAGATACAGAGATGGAAGTGGAGGGGAGAGGAGTTCAAGGGGATAGGAAAAGAATTAAAGTGTATTGTTTACATGTACCAACTCCCCACAAAATATATCATAGTTATGTACTGCAAGAATGTACTACTAAAAATTTTTTAAACAAAATCATTAGGTTTTTGTTATGTATATTTCACTCCAATGAAAATTAAATTGGAATAATCCAGACACATCTGGCTTACAAAAGCTCTGTGCATGGATCATCCAAGGTCAAAGAATGTCAATGCATCATCACCTGATGCCTGCAGCCCTTCAGTTTGATTACTCCAGTCCACTGGGCACCAGAATAACATCTCCTCCTTCTATGGTTGTCTACATCAAGAGACTCCTTTCAGAGACTACATTCCTATCAGTACTGAGCCTGAGCCCATTTTTGGGCAGCATGCAGGGACATTGGATACACACTCCTTGGATCTGCCCCAGCACTGACACAGCATAAGCCTGTAAGTGCTAAGGCAGATGACAGATAGATGGAGACCCAACAGAAACATTTTCTCTTCATCAGGACAAGCATTCCATTCAGCCAGCTGAATGAGTGGAAGACAATGTGATAAATTTCACCACTAAGCACTGAGAGGTTTATGTAAGTGGTTGTTTTGAAGTTCATGAAAATTTCATCTAAAATTTTGCTTTCCTTCCACACTGACTCTACTTCCCATAAATGACTTATCCATGACAGCAGAAAGTAGGTTTTCCTTCACTATTTCCTAAACACTGCAAAAAGACTACAAAGGACACAGTGAGGCAGAGGTTGAAGATGACAGTAATCACAACATCATGAACTGCTACTGAGACAATCCCGTGTGCCAGGTGTTAAGATTAGTGTTCTATGTAGATTGAATTCTTCTACAAGTTATAAATACCACTCTAACATGCAGAAAAGTGAGGGGGACAGCATTTTAATGTAAGGTGGACCGGGTTTTTAGCTTGAAACACTGAAGCCATGTGTGAACTTGTCCGTCTGATTAGAAACACAGGGCACTTCTGCAAGTGAGTCCTAGCACAATGTCCCCTAGGCCACTCAACAACCTACTTCACTTCCTGTCTCTCCAGGAAGAAACCTCTACCACTATGGTCATGTTAATATTGTACTTTCCTACCTTTAATTTCCCGTAATTT